AGAAGAGGTCGGCAGGCAGAAAAAGAAGAGCAGAAAAAAGGAAATATTCTACACATAGGCACAACAGATTCGGTTGAGTAGACTATTACAGAATCTCAAGTATTTAAGTGAGAAGAAATGGGGAAAGAAGGTATGAAAAAAGTGGAGATATTGAGTAGGAGAGCTTGGAACTCTCGAAAGTCCAATTATTTTTTCATTTCCTTTTTTTTAGTATTCTGCGGTAGTTGTTTTAGTGTTCATTTCCATCTGTATTCAGCCTAATATCAAAGAAGTTATTCTCCTTTCTGTTTACTGCAAAAATATTGTCATCTGTTCCAGCCTTTTATCTAAATATTAGTACTGTGATCTAGTATTGGTGATTGTTTCATCAGGGAGCTTGACACAAAGTTGCAGAATTTTTCTTTTTTTCCAAAGTTTCACTTCAATAGCTTAAGGCAAATTCCTAGGTATAAGAATCCCCGAAACAAGAACACAAAAAAGGTACATGAACAATATTACTAACATAAACAACCATAAAAACAAGCATAATGAGATAAATATGATTACCACCTTTAAAATCACTAGAGAAAGCAACTATTAGCGCCTAAGTTATGGCTCAATGCAGTGAATATAACTAGGACTAAACCGTATTTGAGAGTAATATTTCGCTCATTAGTATAATAACAATAGAGGGACCAGAGAGACAGGATTTCCTAAGATTACCAATGTATTGGTTTCAAAATGGCTTGTAATAGAAGAGGGCACTGAATTTGTCGGTAACATGCTCGTTGGCCTTGCAAATCCCATTCTAGAAGAGTGCATCTCAAAGGATTCGTCCTTCAAATTCCCTGCAGCATTTCCCCGATCAACCTGTGCAGAAGACAAAGATGATGCCTGTGGGCTGGACAACTGTACTTTGTGTTGTTGGTCATTTGACTGATCAACTGGTTCCTGCTTCACATAAGACATTGATGATGAAACTCCAATTTTCTGTTCCTTGCTGGAGGATGATGGCCACTGAACTGGATTTTGTTGCAGCGTCGTGTTATTGTTCGTGTGAGACAGGGCTCCTGGTTGCATTTTCTTTGGTTCACCAAAAGCATTAGGCCTGCCAAACTTAGGCACGTTCATCATATTCATAGCCTGTGTAGTAGGTCCCAACTGATTAGCATTCATGTTCTGATGAGCTGTAGCTTGCCTCATTTGTGAATCATGAGGTTGCTGTCTGAGAGATGTTGCAGAATAAGGCGGATAACTACTCCCAGGACTTCCATACGTCGGAAAAGATGCCTGTGAGAAGTGCAAATGCTGTTGCTGCTGTTTATTAAGTCCCTGAATTGGAAATGTTGGTTGCTTCCTCTCGTGACTCGAAACTTTCAAAGTGGAAGATGCCATTTGATTTATTTCCATTCCATGAGATTCTACCTGACGCTCCACCTCCTGGGATTTCAGAGCACTATCACTTGTCGAATCTGTTAATTTGTACAGAAAACTAAGAAATATGAGCATCACCAGAAGAGTTAGGAGCCTCTTGGTATGTTTGTTTAATTAATAGTATTTCAGAGAAGGATTTGGCACCAGTTGATGGCATTTG